AGCAGTTTTACATATTTATTCGCAGGTGTGAATTCTCTTAATGTCTTTCAGTACTTGCAATCTTTACAAACTTTTGTTCTTGTTCAAGAGTTGGTTAGGCTTCGCTTTTCTTTCCATATCTGACACCAGTTTCCATTCACTATTTTTTGTAGTCCCCACCTTCTGTGCCAAATTTTTCATTATATGATAGTTTGAATAGTCTGGGATCCTTGCGACTGGGGAAGTATACAGCGGTAATTACCCTTTCTATGGTCGATTCAATTGCTTTAGATATTACATGACATCTTATGAATACACAAACACTCTTCTGCAGTGGTTTAATGATGTATATTCAACTGATATCTCTGATAAGTGTGAGGATGCTCTTAATCTTCTTTCAAAAACTCATGGTTGTGAAGTAAGTCATCATCATTGTCATATACTTGATATTTCTCTTGCAATTCATTCTTGCTTCCTAATTTCGGAAATAACTTCTATTTGATCATATTTTATTGTGACTGAGCTCATCAGACTGCATTTCCATTTATTATAGATGGTAGAAATTGTTATACCCGAGCTCCATGAAATGAGTACTGCTCATCTTGTTTCAATTGGATCTGAGTGTCTCAGTTCGCTAAATCCGTATTGTGAGGATGGGTATGTTTCTTTTTGACTTATCAAGAATTTACTTCAGGGGAGGCAAACTTAGATAATATAAAAAATAAAAGGAAATTGACTCATCATATACACAAAAGCTTTAATATTGATGAAGACATTTTCTGGTCATTATAAGTATAAATGTCAATTATGTGTTTCAAATGTTAAAGTATCACATAATAACTTCAGCCTTAATACAATCAAAATTTCTGTAAGATCTTTAATTTCTTTCATTATTAAAACGTCACTACTAACCACATATCAACAGTAGAAGTTTTAAGTTGATCAAGAATCTACTTCAAAAGTTTCATTTCGAATAAACTTGAATAAGTGAATAATCTTTATTTTTGGAAAACATGCATCAAATGAAATCAATTAAAATTAAATATGTCACATAAGAAGCAATTCAATTTAAATTCGAGTGATAATTTGTTTAGCCTTTGAAGTTTATAGAAAAATCATGTGAAAAAAGAACATATAAGGGCCCCTTTAAAGGGGGGGGGGGGGCAAAAATACATTTTTAAGAGAGAAAAATTGACGATGTAAAAAATATACATTAGACATAGAAAATATAAAAGTTCAAGAAATGGTGTGAGATTCACATACAAAATGGGTACTGGAAATGGAATGGTCCTTTTCTATCAGTATTTATTTCTGTCTGCTCTTTCTTGTATTTGTTTTTCATTTTTCCTTACATTTTTGGTCTGTAGACATGGTGCGAGATTGTCATATGATACACGTACAAGTATGGCCCTATTCCGATCATTTTCTGCGTCTGACTATGTTGCTGCCCAGTGTCTTCGGTGAGGCAAAATGATTACCTGAAAACAATTATATGGCTTGTCTTCAGTACATGTCGATGCACAAGGGAGTCTGTTTTTTTATTTTTTATTTTTTATTTATTGTTTTATTTTTTTGTGATGTTTAGTTATCTCATAAATGTAAATATACATATATTTATGTACACATGTGCAATACCAAGGTAGGGTTAGCAGCGCATTGTTGTTTGATAAAAATGTTTAGTGGGAAAGTGAAATATTAAAAATATATTACCTTGGTGAATCTGTGATCTTATAATTTTCCGTATTTACACTCTAATTTTCATCTAATTTATTTCAGGAGAAGGATTATGTACTATCATATGGAGATCTTCAAGAAGGTTGATGTCATAGTTACCCCCACAACTGGGTATGTAATGGTTACTGATTACAGCACTAATGAGTGCACCTGTGAAAGGATTTTTCCCTGATCTACAACCAATTCATTTAATGGACCAAATTCAGATGAATTACTATATTTAAATTAAAATTTGGTCCAGATAGGTAATTGATTTATATCGAGTTATTTTGACACTGTCAGATATTACAGGTCTGGATCAGCATATCTGATCCTGTCTCGCCCTTATATTCTTATATAGAAAGCTAAAAATTGATGGTGTAACATTCTAAATACCTAAATGATTCTCTTGTTTGTATAAACTATAAAGGCACGTTGATGAGAAAGACCTATTATTCATTACTGATATGCATTGTGGAGACAGAATACAGTGCAAAAACGTATCAGAGGAATTTTCAAAATGATGTTTTCTGTACTTTTCAGTCGGAAAATAAAAAATATTGAAAACAATAATGCATTTTCCTATTTTACTGTGAAAGATATTCTTTTGAAAACTCTACCGAACAGGTCTTAAGCTTTTACAGATATTTTAAGATAGATGTCATCACTAGTCAGTGTTTTTACTCATTTTCTGCCTCTATAGTTAGCATTAGCATTGTTTTTCCTTGAGCAGGTAGTACTTTTTCCGTGAAAAGTTTGAGTTTATATCATGCATTTTTCCTTTATTACAACTGAAATGATATTCTTTTCTTTTGTTGTTAACAGCATGACAGCACCCATAATTCCATTGAGTGCTCTTAAAGATGGGGAGACAGACATGCGGGTTACAGGTATGCTTTTCTACAGTCTGAGTTGCAGCTTGAGAGAAATAATTTTCATTCTTTAATTTCTCTACATGAAGAGTTGTATGGCAATTGCCTGATGAGTATCAAAATGAATGAATTTAAATTGGTTTTCAGCCACACTGATTGGTTGTCATGGCCTCTATCTGCCTCCACGATTTTGTATCCCTGCTATTTGATGTGGTCTTGTTGACCTTTTGTCTTCTACACTCAAAACAAGTCTTGTCATCAATTAACCCCCAAAAAAAAAATTTGAAGTCTTGTCGCCTATGATTATTATTATTATTTTCTTTCGGTTCGTTAGTAGGGAAAGGAAAAAAAGAGATGTGATACACTTTTTGTAATTTTTCAAACTTGCATTGATGCACAGCTTCCTTCATTTCAGGTTATCTTATGCGGTTTGTCATTGCGGGAAATCTTCTCGGACTTCCTGCCATTTCTATACCTGTGAGTAATTTATTTTTTCGTGTATTCATATCTCAAGCGCCATAATTTAGTTATGGTTACTTTGGTGTAACGCTTGGTGTACACAAGTTGAGCAAATTGAACAAACCTCCGTTTTATCCTGTTGTTCTGTCATATGGGAGAGAGAGAGAGTGCCTAAATTTTCAACTTTTAAGGCCTTCTAATCAGACTCTGTGGAAGCCCTACTTCTCTAGTTGAAATTGTGGGTAATTATCACTAATTGTTATAGTATTATATGAAATCCTATCCCAGGAAGTTAACCTTTCATAACCATTTGGCCTTTGATTACTCCTACTCTTGCACACCTATATTCAATTGTCATTCCATATCGAAAAGCCATTTCATGTTAGTAAGTGTTCATTTGAAATTACCAAGATTTCACAGGCAGCATAGATACACTAGGAGCATACACACTAGGATAGGATTCTTTTAACTGATCTCATTAGTTGGGACCTTTTCGGTTTTTGAGTTTATCCATAAGAGAAAGGTATCTTTGGTCCCTTATGGTAACTTGACCTAGTGATTCATTGTGTCATGTTGTTATACTCAAGCCTTGACCTATTTAGGTCAACGACAAAACAAGAATTTCAAATGTTACAATGACCTTCCTCTTACGTCTACTGTTTTTTCTTTTCTTTTGGGCTGATTTTCTACTTTTCTGTACTTGTGTGATATCTGCAGGTTGGCTATGATAAACAAGGACTTCCAATAGGTTTGCAACTGATTGGCCGCCCATGGGGTGAAGCATCAGTTTTGCGTTTGGCTTTGGCAATAGAGGTATCAAATTTTCTGAACTCTTTGAGGGAATGAAGGAAAGAAAATTCTGCAATAGACCTTCAAATGTTTAGGCATTCTGCAAACCGTCTGTAGAAGCAAAGAACAATTTTAATCTGAAGCTTTTCTCATGTTTTTCAGGAACTCTGTGCGAAGTCCAAGAAGAAGCCTGCATCATTCTTTGATGTCCTAAAATCTAACTAAATAGATGCTTTCACTGCTTTCACTGCTTTCACTCTCAAACAGTTTCATGTTTGGAAGACTAAATTATCATATCCTATAATAATTGCTCCCTAGCAGTTTCTTTCAACGTAATGCCTTGCCGGACCTTTTTTATTTTATTTTTATTTTTTAAATATTTATTTTGGTAGAAAGGACAAAGGAGGGAGTTGCCTTCCCGGAAATTATGATAAAGAGAGCACACCCCCTTGGCTAGGAGAAGTTTGAAGCTAGCAATAAGGCTGAATAAAGAATGAAGAGGCTCATAACTGGTAGCTTTCAGATCAACAGCAATTACCAAACCCAAAAAAATAGCAGTTTCTTAATAAAAGGTGTGTTAACAAAAAAAAAACGAAGAATTACCTCCACGTAGTCCCGTGAGAACTGAGTGTTCATTTGTCAAGATATTGCCATGATGTGAGAGGGTCCAGAAAAAGGTTCCAATCTTGGGTTGGGAGACGAGCTTAAATCTTCCACCTAATTGCTTAGGTTGTCTTCAAGGCCTCGATTAGGTATTGCAAGTGCTTTGGAGCACACATTATATTACCAAGTTAGCTTTAGGACCATTTGTCATAAACTATCAGTGAGGATTTTTATTTTATTTTTTATACAAGCGATATTAGGGAAGTGGGGTATCAAACCTAGGACCTTTGATGCATGTATAAATATTTTTAATCACTTGAGCTACAAGCCCTTTGCATTTACAAGGATGTTTGAGATGTCGACATAATATGCTTAAGGAGCTTCTATACACGCACATAGTCGCAAACCCATGCACAAGTTTTAAAAGTATAACATTTACTCAACTAAACCCTAATTTAACTTCAAAACTAATCCATAAGAGCCTCACACATGATGTAGGGTTTTACGGCAAAAGACCTTGGAAGTCTAAGGGTGTGGTTGTCATCATTCGACACCATATTCTATGCGGAGAAAATCCCGCTGTTGTTATGTTGAAGCTCTATATGGTCTCGAGGTGGAGAATTACCAGGTCTGGCTGGGTGATGTAATGGGTTTAGTCCTGCATTTCCTTGAAATAATATCATAGAGAATGGTTTTCAGCGTTTCCTTACTGGAAAATTAAACCTGGATTCCAAAACCTCATACGCATGCTGATTTCCCAATTTGCTCCGACTGCAGAAACCAAAAATTTCACCTGTTTACTCAATACTGACCACGCATTGACAGCCTAGAAGAGTAGCCAACAATGTCTGAAATTCAAATAGTCCATTCACTACAGGTTATTGCTGAGCAACAGGGTTGAAAAACACAAACAAGGGAAGGACTTGCCAAATATGCTGGTGGGAGAGGCCAAGCATAAACTGATGATATAAGGGCATAAGGAGGCAGAGCAAAAGAAGCATGATGTATTTTACAAGTTATTCTCTTTAGCTAATAAAGAGGTCTCATAAAATGCAATCTTGTACTCTTCTTCATGGACAAACAGGACACCACTTTATGCCTATGAATCTCAGAGTCGTCAAACCACAACAGGATGTAGCATGTAATGTGAGAAGAGCCGGATATTCCACGCATGCTACTATTTTATGCATGGACAATATCCAATTTGTTCTCAGCTTCTGGCAGCTTTCTTTCTTTCTTTTTAAACTAAGTTAGACTTTTCTTTCTCAAGGTTCTCACTAGCAACACCACTAGGGAGATCTAGCCCATCAGGAATCTTTCCTGGATAATTAGTTGTTGAGGAATCAGACCCTGTCATACTGGAGAATGAAGAGAGGTCATAAGAATCCTAAACAAACAGAAGGAATCCCTTTTGAAACTAATGAAACAATCATAAGCTCACCTTCTGTCAACAATGACCATGGAGCGAAGCTCGCAATTTGCAAAGCTGCAAGGACAGTAAAGAAGTGATAATGTGATGCTTGATGATGCAGCACTTAAGTCCCTATTTATTTTTAACTTTAGCTAATAAAGTAGGCATGATCCTTTTGAAATATTTACTAAGCTAGTGATTTTTGCATAGAGTGAAAGTCTATATATCACACTTACTGTTTGCACATTTCTTTTTTCGCCAAAGGGTCACAATCATTTAGCAATGCACTTAGTGTGTGAAACAAGAATCCACCATGGGTAACAATTGCTATCTCTTTCTCTTTCCTTGTCGACAACCTGTTAAGTGATGAGAAGAAGGTACCCAACTCATATCAATTCAACTCTTATATTTATGTCTATGGATCTGTCAGAAGTCAGTAAATTTTCATACTTCTCAAAAACTAGGGCTGCTATCTTGACACCCCATAGAAGTTAAATCATACAAGAAAAAGAGTAGTCAAAAAACATTAGGATCTCATGGAGGATGAGATCTTGAAAAGACCTGATAAACTAAAAACCCAAAAGTTTGTGAAGAATAAGACATAACACCAACAATGGAGCATGTGATCCATACAATAAGCTTCTTGCTTCTGAAGGTTACAAGATGAGCTTGATCAAAGCACCTTGTAAACCTTGATAAACTTGATCTGTCATGAAGCTGATAATTATGTAAAGCCCATTCAAAATTTATAAAACACATAGCCCCTTTTAGCAATCATTATTTAATCACTCATATGCAAGAAAACTGCATTATTCTAGTGCAATCTGGAGTTTCAAATTTAGTATGTTAACTGATATTGGTTAAGGCCTAAAAGAATCAATAGAAACCCAAGTTCCAATAATGAAACAGGTACTCACCAGTTCAGGAATTTCAATCCCCTAGCTGCAACTTCCTCTTTCAGCTCCCTGACATTTGCCTTCCACAATATATCCTCATCACTTTCTATCTGTGAAATTAATGGTCATTTTGCATGCAAAGATGACAAGTACCATAAATTAAATTATAACCACTAGTTCTTCCCCCAGTTATTGTTAACTATCCAACTACTTGCCAGTGAAAAATCAACCGCAGGAAATAGAAACTGATAATCGCTGATGCTCCTCCTGTTATCACAGGGATGAACTCCCTGCAACCAGAAATTTACAAAACACATTTAAAGCCCTGAGCGTCAATATAACAGCAAAGACTATGTATTCTTTGAACTTTTTTTCTTTTAATATGAGAGAAAAAGTAAAAGAAATAATGCAACAACTAATAAGCACCAAGTTCAGTATGATTGCAACAACTGATAAGCACCAAGTTCAGTATGATTTCAAACGATTTCTCATTTCACGCATAGAAATAAATGAATGAGGTTCTTTTCCATTTCTTCTAATCAAGATCAATATGAAAATTCTGTCATTCAAAAGTACTTGGAAAACACAAGCCAAGTCAAGCAATGTTACATCACAAGAATTAAACTACCAAGGCACAAATGAAATAATTTACTCTCTTCCGTATATATTGAAGATAGCCACTAGGTTAATAATTTTCACCAATGGATGTTTATCAATGCCCCACAATAAGTTGCAAATGATTCACTCACTTTCAGTTAAAATCATGATTAACTGCAAAGAAGACAACATTTTGGTTTCTAAAAGACATACCAAATGTTCTCGACAGAGTTCTATTGCAATGATGGGCGGGCAGTTAAGACTTGAAATTGAAGGACGCTCACTATATCCGGCATTTGCCACCATTAGTGGCAATATATCCATTCTGTCTGTGTAGCCCTCACCTCCAAATACTCCAACAGCCGTTTGTAGAGCCCTAAAAAGTCAAAGCACTTTTAAGTAAAGCTTAGTAGCATCTAAACCATAGAATGTTTTCCAGGAAGGAGGCATCTTCATATATATGTAGCATTTCTGTTAAGTAAAACAACTGGTTATTTAGTTCGTTGTAAACATACAACTGGTTATAGCCATGTCATCATTTTTAACTTGATTGTTATATCAAAAAGAAAATTTCTAATGGACCAACCAAATTCAATAACAATAACTCAAAAGCATAAACTATTTGGCCACTGAGACAAGTGTTTATATTTCTTTTCCTTCTAATATCTTGGAAGACCAATAAAATAGTATATAAAAAAATTTCATATATCAAATTAAAACAGAAGGATAATTTAAGATTGTCTCAAAATCATATCATCTAATCATCTATTTAGATGCCCAATTACACACAGATAGTTGTCAGCTTGTACCTAGAACGTTTGGAGTTTCCGTCAGTGACTATCAGTATTCAATTTTCAACTATTCATGCCAAGAAAGACTCTAATACCCATGTCCCGAATACACCAAATGACTCTAAAAAGAAATAGATCTTTATACAATTTTAAAAGTTTTTCCATGTGCTTAGCAAACCTCTAACAAAGAAAGAAAAATCTATTGAGAAAATAACTAACAATTTGATTTCCAAATGACCCCTCTAGGTACCACATTTACAACTCCAAAATAACACTTCTTCGAAGAAGATTCTTACGTACAACCCAACCCTTAGTTTCATCTCCTCTCAAGCTCCTTCCTTATGTAAAGGCACCTTAGTCTAACTAACCAGAATAGGCCTTTTCTGTTGCTCAGTTTGTTTCAATGAGAAAGATTCACAAAATGGGTCTTTCTCTATAATTCTGCATCTTGTGCTGAACCTTTCAAGTGAAAAATACAAAAATAAATTTAAGAATCTCTGTTCAAGAAAAGCACTATCCAGCAAACAAAAGACAGAGAGCAGGGCCAAATTCTAGAATTATGGCTTGATTACCTTAGCAAAGGAGATGTAATGACTAACTCAATCCTCTTGGAAAGCCCAGATTCATGAACATGCTTACGCAAATTATCAACCTGTACCCATAGCAACAAAAAATTTCATTACCATTATTGCTCTCATGACAATGTTATTTTATCTGTAGAAGGAAAATATTTGTTACAGGCCTTTCTTCTTTTTCCTTTCTGTTTTTCTAACACAGTATCTATATAAGAACAATTTAATGCCTTCTTCCCACCTGCTGCCAGCCTAGTGGAGTAAGATGCGCATCAAAATATTCAGGTTTCATTAATTTTTTGTAGTTCTTAGCTCCCTCTACATTGTGGATTCCTTGTCCATGCCTCACCTGAATGCAAGGATTTGTAAGACCACAATGCGATGATTTGAGAGAAAAATCCAAGAAATAGGACAATCTTGAATGTCCTTCAAACCAAAGAAAAATAGCATCTTCAAATCTACAACAAAATGTATGCAAATCCAAAATAAAAGTTGGTACCAACCAGGTGAATAGTTTTGCATCGGTGCAGCGGAAACAAACTCGGACTTGAACCACTGTCCATATCTGCAGCTTAGCCAATAAAAGATACATTAACATTAAAAGGAAAAAAAAAAAGATGATCATAAGAGTACAAGAAAAACAAGGAAGCGAGTATTTGGTGAAAATTATAACTTAAGTATATAACCACAGTTCAAGATTTAAAGCTTCACATGTTAAAGAGATATAATAATCAGCCATTAAGTATCAATTCTAAAAACACGACACGTTAATGTTTCGAAATCATTATTTTCTGCAGAACCCAAATATCCATATATTACTGTTTCAAATTCATCATTTTTGTTTGAAAAGCTAGCGAAGGCTTGGGGAAAAATATTGTAGTCAGCAGGATGCATTCATGACTCTGACATAGCCTTCCTAGGAGAATAAATTATCTGTAATGGAAGCCGGACACAATTCAAGCTGAATCGACGGACACATAAATTTTAACACATTTTCTATTTTTGGCTCCCAGCATTCATATCCTTTTTTTTTTTTTGGTCTGACTGCATTCACTTCTTTGTTTTACTCTTATTGGCTTACTTCTCAAATCCCTCTGTTCTGAAGCCTACCACATCCAAAGCATTGCTTCCTATCATGGATTTCAACCAACAAAAGGAAGAAAAGAACAAAAAATATTAAGAAATTCAACCCAGTTAGTTAAAATCAGAAAGAGTTCAGGGAAGGGTCACCATTCCCAAATGCTATGTTCCAAAGCCAAAATCTTTAATGCCCGTGCCAGCATTATCGTACAATTAAACCATAACACACGACATGACATGACTTTAGAAATCAAGCAAGGATTCTACCATCCAAATTCATAAATCAAGGGAATATGATGAAAATTAAATCATATAAATCCAAAAAAAAATGCGCCAAGTCAGTAATCTGCGAAAGTAAAACAAACCCATGTCGAATAAACTCACCAGAAACATCTACAAATTAAGAAATTGAAATATTTGAGATGGAAGAGTTTACCAGGGTTAGACAGAGAGGATAAGCAAAAGGGTGGACAGTGGGGGAAGAGAGGATGTTAAAGAAGAGTCTTGTGATGGTGATATATATAGGAGTGGCTGAATGGGATTTGACAATTCCGCTAGTACTATGGCCAATGATATGTTGTTGGCTCAACTGGAAATGAAATGAGAGAGACTGGCGGACTGTCTGTTTCTGGGCTATGGACCTACAAATTGCTTGTCTGCATTTTCAGTCCATGTAATCTGTGACTACTGGTTGGAGAGTTGTGGTGGTTCACTTCAGAATCAGATAGACGGTATAATGCCACAAGATTTATAGCCAGTGTTTGATTCACTTTACCTTGGGGAATATTTATCTAAAACTAATTTTATATAGGGGACTTATTTCAATTGGCATAGAGTTTCTATTATTTACTGCCTTTCTTCCATACTAGCCCTCTGGCACACGAGTGGTTGGTTTTTCTTTTTTAATATAAATATTTTGTTTTTAAATATTAGTAATTCAGTTTAAATTTAAAAAAGAGAAATTATGTGTAGTTGTGTCCTAAGAAGATAGGACTCATGATTTTTTTTTTTTTTTTTTTTTTAATATACATATTGTTAATTTATCATATTATCCTCATTTAATAAATATGTTCATTTGTTAATATTTTCTTTAAGTAATTGAATTTTTGGTATTTTGAATATTTTTACTATACTTTGCCTTTCTCTTTATATCTATAGATGAAAATATGTAAATACTCCTCATACGGAGAAAGGTTGGTTTTAGAATCAAATCGAGCCAAACATTTGTCGAATTGGGGGTATTTTGGAAGAGATGAGTTCGACTCTAAAAGTGGCTCATGATTGTATGATCCGCAAAGGTGGTTTTGTCAAATGTGAATGGCATTTTGAAGGACATGACTTCGACTTGAAACTAACATTTTCGGGTGTGGGACAAAAAATTCCCAATGTCTTAAAAGGGCCTTTGTATCTTGAAATCAAGAAAAGAAAGCTAGTTGAGTCATTGCACACTGATATGGTGTGAGTCAAGTTGTCTCCGATGTCAAAGTCAGACTTAAAATACAAATGCGAGAGAGTGAGGTTCTTGGTTATAGAAAGAGTTACCTTCTTCATTCAGTGGAAATTGGCTTTTATAGAGTCTATGGGTGATTGGCTTCTCGTCGTCCTGGTCTACATGGCATGTGCCTATTGAGTCTGCCGAGACCCATTATTTCGCGTTCATGTCAATTAGCTGTCTAACTTTAAACTGTGGAATAGTTAATGGGTTCAAATGTGTTGGGCCTATATGTGGTCCAATTTCTCTGTTGGCTTAGCATAGGTGGCTTCCTTAGCCAGGTGCTTCAAACGATGTCTTCCACTTCTAATCAATGTGTCATTAGTTGTTTATTCATTTCCCACGTCTCTCCAAGGGCAATTTTTTTGTTGTTGCCAAAAGTCACTTTTGGTCTCCACAGTTTGGCATTTCAACCACTTTGACCGTGTAGTTTCAATTCCGTCAATTTTGCCATTGTAATTTCATATTTGTAGCAATTAAAGGATAAGTTAATATTTTTGTCAATTTCTTTGATGGTGTAAGGTGCAATTTTGTCAACCCAAAACCTTTGAACTTAAAAACTTGTCTGAAACTCACCCCATTTCATATTAGGGCTCAAAATTTATCCACTAATCTCCCAATTTTTAAAGAACCCAAAACCCAAATGGCAAATTTTAAGCCCTAATATGAAATAAGAAGAGTTTCAGACCAACTTTCACGCTCAAGGGTTTTGGGTTGACGAAATTATACTTTGCACATTCAAAGAAATTAATGGAAATACTAATTTGTCCTGGAATTGTTGCAAATACGAAACTACATGGTTAAAATTGATGGAATTGAAACTACAGGGTCAAAAGTAATTGAAGTGCCAAACTACAGAGACCAAAAGTGACTCTTAGCCTTCTTCTTTTTTTTCTTTTTTTTTAATGGATGGGTCTGGGGTGCTACATATGGCTTCGATTGTACGAGTTTGGATCAAATTCATTAGAGGAGGTGGGTGGGCAATACGCTAGGGGAGGAGGGTGGTCGACACTTGTGGTTGGTTATAGGTGTGATAGCCATACTCTCCTTTCAATATCAATTACCCTCATTTTATTTTAAAATTTTTAAATCTTACTTTAAATAATAATTTTAAACATTTAAATTTTTTTAACAATTATACAATTATGTATATATTTAAATCCACATGAAACTATTTCATTGGATATGTGGGCACACATCAGCACACTTACATAACCTCATGGTAGGGACTACTTGTGAGCACGTCTAGGACTACGCCCAAAAAAAAAAAAAAAAACATGAAGTGTTGATGTTGATATATGTTAATTAGGCTCGCCTAGAAGAGCCTAATGGACTCAGGCCCAAACCACTTGATAATTTTTTTTTTTCGTTTCAATTGCATCTTAGTTTAATTGTAGTTCATGTTTAAGTTCCGCTACACAACAAAAAATTGGGTTAGGTTAAAGAACTAAGATTGATCACTAATCTTCGTGGAAAGATACTCGTACTTGCATCACATTATACTATAAATCGATTCGTGCACTTGCGAGTTTTTATTTGACTTAAATTGATTTAATATTTAGTTGGTTTACGCACATCACATTTCAGGGGAATTGGAGTCATTGTCCACCTCACTTGGGCACTCCAAGTGCAACAAAAAACATACAAGAGTGTGACAAACCTTAAGTCCACCCTTGAAGAAGGGTTGACTGGGTTTTGACTCATTCGAATTGGTGGTGTGAAATTCACTCATCAACATTAAGGACACAACCTGATAATTTTGTGAACATCAAGGACATTTTCAAAACTCTTTTTTGAATGTGAATAAGCAAAGAAATCTGGCCCATTGGAGCCTTGACTTGCAAACTAGTGGTCTTAAGTTCAAACCTCTATGGCACATTGGTAGTATGCGTATGGCAAAACCACCCTCCCCTTTTTAACTTTGTCAAAAAAGAAATGTGAATGTATAGAATTCTTTTCATTTAACTAGCCCATTGGCACACACGTAATTTTATTTTTTAATTTAATTTTTTAAAAATTATGAAAACAGGTAAATGTATTATATTATCTTCATTTATTTAATAATTTTAATTATTAATATAAGTCTCCATGCACACGCGGAAGGTCTTTTTTTTATCACATTCGCTACGCATGACTTACAATTTTAATTCTTTTTCTTTTTGCAATTGTATTTTTCTAGATGCGCATTTGAAAATGCTTTTTTTTTCTTTTGCTTGCACGAAATAAATGTGGCAAAAAGAAAAAGAATTAAAATTGTAAGTCACACATAGCGCGCGTCTTTAAAAAAAAACTAATACTTTCCAATGTTCTAAGAATCAACTTGGAAAAGGCAAGAGTAAACAAAGGTAGCAAAAGAGTTCACTAATTCATGTTTTTTTTTTCTCTTTCACTCATTCACTAATTCAAATTCCCGTTCTAAGTATTGTAGGGCTTGTCTCGGCTCTACCGCCAATTAAATATTATACTTTCACGTCACTATAACATATTTTCATATTTTCATCATAATCAAGTTCTTTTTAACCTATGAGTAATGGGTTGTTCACAATTGGGCTCTTTACATTTTAATTCTCTCCTATTCAAATTTCCATATTTGAATTACATTTTAGTGCCCCTTAAAATCTAATACCTTTGAAAAAGCCAATATTTTCCCACATTCTAAGAATCCACTTGGAGAAGGCAAGAGAAAATAAAGGGGACAAAAGAGTTTAATAATTCATGCATCTCTTTCACTAATTCACTAATTCATGCATCCATGGACGCCTTTTTTTCTATCACGCTCATGGCATGCGACTTACAAAGGATTCTATAGGGGATTATAATATCCAACACAATCTTGAACGTTTTTAAGTTGACCATCATTTGTTTGTACAATCATATTTCAACCTCTAACTTTTTCAAATTTCTCATTGCCAACTATTATTGCAGCAACCTGGGATGTAGATAGCAAACTCTATTGTCGATGATGTGGAGGTTGTTCTTTGATAATGAATTTGAAATTCTGTGAATTTCGTCGCTACGCAAGGTGACGAAATGTTTGTAGCATGTAATTCATAGAAAGGCGAGATAAGTCAAATATGGAAATTCATGGATACTGTATAGGTGCGTAGTCGAGAAAAGGCTAATACTTTCCCACATTCTTTGAATT